ACGGTCTTAAAAGAATATATTTTTAATCGCAAATCCATCTCTCAACTCACCTCCTAAGAAAACTTTCCTTTTTTTTTTTTGTCAGTTGAGGAACCCTTAGAAAAAAGTCGTGAAGTGGGGCTGGGGCTGCAGATTTCAACCTCCCCAGAAGCTGCAGACTGAGGGGTGGGGGGGGCAGCATTCAGCGCAGAGCCCTCGGATGTGCACTCTGATCTCGCTGTAACCTCCAGCCACTTATCTCTCATCTCTAAATTGGGGAGCCCCGAGCCCGGCTCACAGTAAGGCCTCTGAGTTCACAAGCATTCTTGCTGTTGTCGTTGTCTTTGTTAGCAGCAGATGCCCCCCGCCCCCAACCCACTGTCCTGTCCAGGCGCCTGGTCCTGTTCCTTGCAATCGCTGCCCCCTGTCTCTCTTGTCCCCACTCTGGATTGCAGAGCTTCCTCTGCAGGACCCAGCCCCGACAATGACGGTGACCGTGGAGAAGCTTCCGGCTAGCTGCTGAGAGCTGTCACTTCCGGGAAGATGGATGGTTATGCTCTCCTTGATGGGGCGCTCACTGAGAGGGATCAGGGACCCACTGCGGGGGAGCAGGGGCTGCTTCTAGTGAGCAGCCCTGGGCCCAGTGGGGGAGCATCAGAGGGCACAGAGGGGTGCTCCTCTGTTTTGATAACATCCAGCCTTACAGAGTAACAAGCCTCCCTGGCACGAAGAATTTGAGGCCAAATGTCAAGGGACCAAAACAGAGAGAAAGATGTATTGTTTCCGTGGACTGTGGGAAAGACTTTAGGGAAGGGAATATTGGAGTTGGATCTTGAAGGATGCACAGGAGTTTACCAGGTAAAGGAGAAGAAAAAATGACTCCAGGTAGAATAATCCAGAAAGGCTAGATTCACAGAGATTTGAAGGATCATAGCACAGTCTCAGTTGGTACAGGGCACTGGAGGAAGCAGAGGACCACACAGCTGGAAAGCTGGAAGAGAGGCCCCTGGTTATGCAAAGCCTAAGTGTCTTGAAAGAGGTTCCTCAGACCCTTCTTCTGCCCTAACTCCTTCCAGACCACCACATCTTTCACTTTGTTTCCTGTTAATTTTTCTCAGTGTGTTCCTTCTCACCTCTAAGACGAGGTTCCCTAGAACTTAACAGAAGGTTCAATGTCCTGTGATTTATTGAAGAAATACTAACGTTGGGGATGTAGCTCAGTGGTGGGGCACTTGCTGAGTGCGTATGAAGCCTCTATTTCCACCCCCAGCACTGCAAAAACAAACTACAAACAACAACAATAAACAAGAGGAGCTCTTAGGAACATGGGGGAGGCAGGTCAGGGAAGGAGAGGAAACCAAGCAAGGCTGCAGGAGAAATGGCTTCCTCCAGGTCCATGCCAGCTCTGGTAGGGAAGCCATACCTGGGAGTTTATCCCTGCCTACGGTGAGGACTCGTCCTCCCACAGAGTTCTCAGGCACATCCAGACTCGGGGAACCCAAGGGCATGAGGGACTGCCTTCCCAAGAGAGTCAGAGTCTGCTTCCCCAGAAGCAGTAGCACCTGGGAGCTGAGAAGAATGCATGGGAGCCATGGTGCAGATGGGAGGGCTCCCAGGAGGAGCCAGGCCCAGACTGGAGGGAGCTCCAGGCCCAGAGCTGCAATGTCCGCTGCTCTACAGTGACAGACTTGGTAGCTCAGTGGCCTCCCATGCTTGCTGTGATGCCACTGGCTGGTGACAGGACATCTCCAGCCCTCTGACCAAAGCTTTACAGTCACACCAGAGTGCACAGGACAAAGTCAACATGCCTTACCTGAGCACTCAAGCCCAGATACATACTATCCCCAGTGTCCTTATCAGCATGGCCACGAACCTTCCACTGAGCCCTGCTGCCCTGAAGCACTAGGGATGATGTTCTCCTCCGGCCCAGGGATGCTCCTTCTTCTGGTCTTCCATCCTGGCTTCAGAGATACCTCTGTCTGTGAGGCCCACCTCCAATTGCTAGTCACACTGCAGGCTCAGTGAATGCATTTTGAGGTCATGACTTTGAAAATGCTTATTTTCTTTGTCATGGAGTGGTTGGTCCTAGAAGCTAGGGAGAAAAGCAAAGCATGGGGCCCTGGCACTCACTGTGGTGTTATCCTCAGCCAGGTGCTGTCGTCCCTACTTGGAAGGGGGGATTCTGAGGCCTAGGCTTGGAAAGGGCTGGTGGTGAATGGCCCAAAGGGACTAAGGAGGAAGCAGTGTTAAATTTTCTAATGCAGATTTCTACAGCTCCAAATCAGCTTTGTTCTTGTTTCTTTCAGAGCATGCTAAGCATAGATGCAAAATCAGAGATAAATAGTGGGGAGATGTTGAAGTGGGGTGCTCTTGGCTTCTAATTCAGCCCTTGACACCACTGCATTTCCCTACGTGTTTTCAGATAAGGGCTTCTTCTGCAAGTCTGATAACTGAAATTCTTATATTAACATAAAGAAAAGATAGAAAAAGAGGTTGTGTAAAGTGTCAAATGCTTTCTTTTTTTTTTGGACCGGGGATCGAACTCTGGACCTTGCGCTCGTGAGGCAGGTGGCAGAACCACTGAGCTAAATCCCCGGCCCCAAGGTTGTGTAAAGTAATGAGTAAGAAAGGCACCTGCAACTTCATCACCCTGGATTGGAATCTGACCTCTGCTCTTTTTTAGATGCCTGGTTTAGGTTTCTTAGTCTTTGTTTTAATAAAGTCATAGATGATTGGAAGGATTGCATGGGGTAAGGTCTTAAGAGTGCTTACTCACTGAATGTGTTATGGCTGCATCTTGAGTGTCCCCAAAGGCCCGTGGGTTCAAAGTTGTGTCCCAGCCTGTGATGCTATAGGGAGGTAGGTGAGGCTTAGTAGAAGGAAGTTAGGGCACTGGTGGTATATGACCTGGAAGGGGACATTGAAGTCAAATGCCTCCTCTGCTGCATTCTTCAGCCATGATGTACTGGGGCAGCACAGGCCCAAAGCAACAAGGTGAAGTGACCTTGGACTGAAACTTCTACAACTGTGAGCCAAAATAAATCTTTCCTTATTTTACTTGTTTATCTCAGGTATTATGTCACAGTAACGGAAAGGTGACTAACACACAATGTGAGCGATAAACTAATCATCAGTGACAACAATGATGGTGATTATGATGGGCATGCTGCTGTTGATGGTGCTGATGGAAATGATAATGATGCTGACTATGGGAATGATGCTGATGACAATGGTGATGCTGACGATGATGTTGATGGCGATGATGATGGTGATGGTGATGGTGATGAATGATGATACTGATGGGGAAAAATGACCCCTTGCTCTTGGGAAAGTTCATCCCCACACTGTCTTTGGCTGCTGGAGTGCTGAACATCCCATTTGCCACAGCTATCTCTGATAGGACATGAGAGGGAGGAATTATCCCTGGGACACCTGGATGGAAGGCAGGGACTACACACAAGGAGAACCAACCTGGGAACAAGAGGATCTGGCTCTGCTTTTTGCACCAGCACCAATATCCTTGTATCCCTGGGCAGGCCCAGCCTCACCCCTCCCTCAGTCCATACTTCCTCCGCATAAGCTGCACACGTTAGTAAGATGGAAGGGCGCTCAGAGTCCACAAATCCTACCTGTTGAGCTCCTTAGCACAGGTCTCACTTAGGAGATCAGACCTCATGTTTTGCTTCTTTCAATCACCCTTTCAAGGATGACTTCTAAGTCTTTTAAACATTTCCTTTGACCCTTTGTGGTTTGTACGTACTGTACCAAGCACGTAGAAGGCTCATAAGTGTATTTTCCCCCAAATTAATAACAACAATAATAATAACAACAACTAACAATGAATTATCCCTTCTTTGAGGAGTTTTGTCAAGAGGTAGATTCTTCTGGAAGCCATCTCGGAGAGGACAGTGAACATGCAGGAGGCCTGAGGGAGGTTTCAGATTCAGTACCTTGGGAGGGGAATGGAAGGAAATGAAGCAGTAGTGGTCAGAAGGAGTTGGGTTGACACAGTCTGAACAAAGGCCTCAGTCAACCTCACAAGGAGCACTAAGGCCAGAGAACCTTCAGAGTGTTCCCCAGTTGGGGTGAGGGACTCAGTGGCCCTGGAGAAGGTGACCATTGATGAGGTGGCCCTGTGTGTGCCCCAAGCAGTTCCCAAGGGTCAGCAGGGGGCCACATCCCAGTAGCTGAGAGCACAGGTCCCTCATTCCTGAGGGGAACCCTGGACAGCACACCACAGTATCCACTGCAGAAATCGTTGTTCTTATTTACAGTGAGGAAGTTGAGGTACGAGGGCATGGCATAAATTGCTCAGGACAGCCCAGTTAATGAGGAAGAGTGCGAGGATTCAAATCCAAGGCTGTGGGGCTCCAAATCAACTTGGCTACACTTAGAACTTGCCAGAAGACATGCGAAGGGGGTGATTTTCTGCTCAGTGGCACTGTGGGAGCAGCAGGATGGGGATCCCAGAGAGGGGAGAGGAAACAGATAGACATATCAGGCAGAGGAGACATTTCAGTGGATAAGGATTGCTTCTACCATTACAATAATTAGCTGGTTCAGAAAGGTCACGCCCCCGGGGATGGCAATGCTGTCAGTTATTCCTTCCTCTGGGAGAGCCATCCGTCACTCTTCAAAGAGTAAATTCAGAATGAGTCGCCGTTAGGAGCTTTGGTTCTGTGACCCAAAATACTTGGCTGGGAAGCTTCACACCTCCTCTTCCTAGCTGTGTGGCAGCTTATTTGCCATCCCTGACTTCTCATCTCTCTTATCAGTGAATGAGGCTGTTATGTATCTACCTAGGCGGTTGGTGGGACTTAGTGAGACAAAGTCTATGAAATCCCTAGCACATTAGTAGGTGCTGGATAGAGTTTAATTATTATTCATTTCCATAATTTCAAATTCTATACTCCCATCTGTTCTTTTGTCTTCTCTGAGTTCAGTCACTACAGATTGCCCTGAGAACTGGATCTTGCTATGGGGATATAGAGCAGGAATTGTTTTAAAGGATCCGTAGGACGTTTTGATTTGAGTAACATTTATAGAGATGGCATTGTTCTAGCGATCAAAAAGATCAATCAACAAATTCATTATTATTCCATGAGCATTTCTGAGAAAATTGTTTCAATGTACATATTAGAAGGCACTAAGTGAAAGCAAGGCTTCATTTGAAATCAGAAAGAAAAAACTTTCATTCCACCGCAGCATCTGCTTCCCTTTAGGAGTTGAACTGAGGGGGGATCTTCTGGCATTAAATTCATCAGTTTCCTGCTCATCAAACTGGTTCTTTCATGACTCTTGATTGGCATGTAGTGCCTGACACTCAGCTTAGACCTCAGCCGCAGGAAGTGCAGACAGCAGTCAGAGGCTCCATCGGAAACAGCGAGGTCATTACAGCCATGATGGGTGTGATTCACTTCCTTGTACTCCAGGGGCACTTCCTGTGCAAGAAGGAAGGAAAGAAAAAAGAGAGAAAAGGCAGGAAAAGAAGGGCATGGAGGAGCAGGGAGAGAAGGAGAGAGAGACAGGAGAAAGAGAAAGGAAAGGGAGCAGAAAGTGAATACATATTTAATGGATAGACAAGATACCAACTGGCACCATCTTTTCTTATCTATATTCACCTACACATCACTTAATTCTTCCATACTTCCCTTCCCTATACACCGAGCATAAAATATCTACTTTAGGAAACTTCCAAGTTGTAAATGCATGAGACAGGAGACACCAAGTATAATGTCTAACACACAGTCGGTGCTCAACAATCCTTCCACCTTCACTAATCCCTTTTTAAAAATATATCAGGGCCAGGGATTTAGCTCAGTGGTTTTGCTGCCTGCCTCAAAAGCACAAGGTCCCGAGTTCGATCCCAGGTACCAAAAATAAAAATAAAATTTTTTAAAAAAAATTAAAGAATAAAAACATTGACACCTTTAAACAGATGATCACCCAAGACCTGCTTCTCCATACAGGGCCAGCTGCAGAGTATACAAGACTCAGGACAAAATATAAAATGTGAGGTTTCTTGTTCTGAAAAGAAGATACCCGGGAATGGAAAACATGCCATGCAAAAGCAGAAACAAGAAACAGAGAGCGAGGGGCATGCTACACATGTTCCCCCCCCCCCTCCTCCCACCTGCCTTCCTTTGCCAAACACAGAATCACTAAGAGTTTTCAGGTGGTCACAGTAGAGCATCACACTGGAGGTGGGGCCCCAGGGACTGCAGCCTGCGTTCCTGTCAGACAATGAGGTATAAACTCTCCCAGGCGGGCAGGCGGTGGAGCTTCCCTGCCTTTCTCACTGCCTTAGAAACCAGCCCCTGGCTCCTGCGATGCAGGCAGTGACATCTTTGATTTCCACCCCCTGCAGACTGTTTGCCAGGCATCTGTGGTCATGAGCTCCCTGGGCAAGGATCATGATTCTTTTTTCACTATTTACAGAAAGGGAAAATGAGGCAGAAAGCGATCATAGTAACTGGAAGCAGTAACTGGGTGTTCAAACCAAGATTCAAACTCAGATCTCTCTGGTACCAACTTCTAGACAGCTTCTCTTAACTGACCAGAGCGCAGATGTTCCCAAACTCACACGCTCGTGCAAATGTGCACACTTTACTGCACATGCAGACACAGGTCTGCATCTGTGTCTCCACCAGCCCCTCTCTAACCTGGCTCTGAACTTTTCAACAACAATAAGTCTGAAAGGCAATACATTCAAATAGACTCCAAAAATAAAGCGGCGCCCGTGGATATGGCTCTGATTGACACAGTATATCGGCTGGTTTCACTGTTAATTAATGCAGAGAGGAATCATTAAATCAGATCAAATTCATTTAAAAAATGTTCGTGTCTGACATTTCCCTCTCCCCACATTGTGCGGTCTCCACGGCTGGCGGGGAGGGGGCAGGGAACAGACACAGAGATTTAATTTTTCAAGTAACACTGTTCAAGTAAAAATACATTTGTTCGAATGAGATTGCCCTGAAACAGCGTTTGCATTGATGGCCCCGGGAGTAATTCTATTAAGCTGAAGAATATTTTTCATTGGGAGGAAGGAAAAGAGGGTGAGAGAGTGGGGTTGGGGAAAGACCGAGAGCCTCAGTAACCTTACGGGGCCGCAAAAGCAGAAGCTTTAACCCATCTCATCTCAGGCCCATCCTCCAAAGTCATCAAGAGTTCTAGCACCTCCTCTCCGGCTCGGCTGGGCTCTGGGCTGTCACTCAGCAGAGACACCGAGAGTTCGCTGGGGCCAGTAAGTTGGAAATCACTCAGGCTTCCCGGGGAGAGAAACACTCTTCATTCTCCATTCCTCCCAGAGAAAAAACAACTGGAGAACGCACTTTGCGTGTGCACACACACACACACACACACACAGATGTACACCACACCTGGCATGCATACACGTAAGCACACATGCACACAAACACATGGGACTTTGTGCAGACACACCTGCCTCCTCCACCGACACACACATAAATGTACACATAACACACGCCTGCAAGGGGCACACCCGTGTGACGCACACGCAGGCTCAAATGCACACGTGCATCCAGTCCCTGATGGGTCCCAGCACACACCTGATGTATAAGCACCTTTGGGTGGGAGCTCACATTCCTCCGTGCACACGCCTTGGGAGTTTGAACAGCAGGGGGGTGTGAAAGCTGAACAGCCCCTGTGGGTGCTTCCCCCACCCTGCAGATGTGAGCCCCCTTGGTCCCCGGCTGAGCCGTCGCCTAGGGTCATCTCCGATTCACAGATGACGAAGGTGAGACTCACAGAGAGGAAGTGGTTTCTGCAACTCCATAATTAGTTCAGTGATAGACCAGGGGCTCAATCCCAGGACTGATTCAAACTCACAACTGGGGTTCTTGGTCTGCTCTTCATAATCTGCCCCTGGAGGGCTCGGGGAGAATCTGACCTGTCCCTGTTGGGGCTTTCCCTTCCATCTGGCAGAAGGGTCAGCTCCTGTCCCCTCCCTGATCAGAGGGGCTCAGTGAGGAGGACGGGCACCATCCCCTGATGTCCCCCGACTGGGAGGGCTGGGGTCTTCCCCTGTGCTCACAGGCGTCCTCACTGACCCCTTCCTGAACTCCCATCATCTGTTCCAGTGGCCCCAGCACCTGCTACCGTATGTCACCTCCTTCCTCTCCTCATTGACCTCTCTCTCCCTGCTCAAACTCAGCCTCCTCAGGGCCAGGTGCTTGCTCTGTTTTGCTCCCTGATGTGTCCTAAGATCTTAGATCAGTTCTGGCCCAAAGCAAGCTCCCACAAATCTGGGTCCCCCGTGTCCCCCCGCTATGACCCCTCTTTCTTTATGCATCTGCCCCTTCAGCGAGGGCACGATCTCTGTCTTCCTCCTCACTGGGCCTCTCTGTCCTACATGACCTGCATGTCAGGAGGCCTCTGGTGAAGAGGTGTGGAACAATAACAATGACAATCTCTACCCATGTGGAAATGTGTGTGCCAGACTCTGTCATA